CTTAAAACTTCCATAACTTTTTCAAAAATCAACAAATCAACATAATTTTTTTTTAAACTAAAACCTTAGATATTTTCCTTTCATTTGATATAATTTTTTTGAAAATTTAACACTTAACCTGCTCATGGGGGGGGATTTAAAATTGCAACTTTTTTACAAAAACTTACTTTTTCAACTTAATTTTTGAAATTGTTCCAGAAATACTGCGTCCTCTAAACATATATCAAATTAAAGATTATTTTATGTACTATAAAATGAAAAAAAAAAATTTGTCCCAACGACCTATCTTCTATGCGCAAATGGATAATAATTTGATATTTATCTTATTTAGATTCAATAATTTCAATAAATATAAAGGATCTTATCACTATAGTCTCCCCTCGTGAGAAAAATTTATATTCATGTTAATACTATTTTACTATGTGGTTCTTTTTGTGGCTACGATTTATTTTGCCAACTCTCACTAGACCTACTTTTTTCAACGATACGTCAAATGATTCATTTAAGTTTATGATATTTAAGTTAATGATTAGTTTAAGTTATTACTCTTAAAAATCAAAAAAATATTCCTTATTCAAATAAAAAGTAGCTTAACTAGATTTGTCCATACAAACAATTAAAATCATTAATTTTTAATATTCTTAAATTATTTATTGTCGAATTAAATTTGATATGATAAAAGTATTCAACTACAAAAGTAAATAATTTTACTTTATAATTTATTAATTTTTTAACTCTATTTCTGTGTGCTACTACCAGTCTATAATATGNAAATAATTTTACTTTATAATTTATTAATTTTTTACCTCTGTTTGTGTGTGCTACTACCAGTCTATAATATGCCAAATTTTTTTTAATATGTTGCTATAAATCATAAATTTAAAAAAGAAATGATTTTTAGTTTCACCTGAATTTAACGATAGATTTTTACAATTATAATTATTTTTTATAATACGCTCATTTGAGTAAATCTTTTTAACTACTTTGGTTTGATTGGTTCATTTAATTAAAGTATATTATTAAAATTAATTAAGTTCTGAATATTTCAATTGCAGAATTTTTTTAAACACCAAAAGTTATTAGGATATGATTACTATTCTTTCTATTTCAGTTATCTATTACGATAAAAATGTAAAAAAATCGAATTTTTCTGACAAATGTACTGTAATTAGTAATTATAAAATTTCCAGATTGCATATTAATCTTAAAAATTTCATTTTTTTCAATTTAATAATGTCAATTTCAAACTTGCAAGTTGAACTATAAGTTATGGTAACAAATTCATTTTTTAGCTTCGATGCGAAGCTGAGAAGGTATTTTTCATTAAAACTTTCACTTTAAAAGACAATAAAAAATAGGTTCAAAATGATTACCTTTAACATATTAAAAATCAAAATCAGTATTAATTTAATACAATTTTTTTTGTTCTTAATTATTTTTTTTTATATGTAAATACTTATTTTTTAATAATAAGTAATAATATTAAAACTTAGAAGTAATAGAAAAAGTTTAATTGCACATTTGAAAACATCACGAAAAGTTTATTTAGAAAAGTATATTTTTTTTCTGATGAAAGTTCCTTTTGTTTAGTGTATTTATTCATAAGTAACAAAATTTTTTTATTAAAAAGTATTGCATAAATTCCTTTAAATTTGTATACGCATTAAAAGTATATGAATATACAACTCCTTTTTATTTTTATAATATCTCCGTAAAAATTACAATATTATATTATTGAATACCACTTTCATACTCAATTTAATTACTGTAATTATTATGTATTCATATATTATAGTTATAAATCGGGGTAAAATTAAGGGAATAAGTGTTATTGTTGTTTTTGAAATAATCTACCAATTTAATTTTTTTCTATTTAATAATATTTATTTCAAACTTGCAAGTTGAGTTAAAAGTTATGGTAATAAATTCATTTTTTTTTTATTAAAACTTTCACTTTAAAGAACAAAAAGAAGTAGGTTCAAAATGATCACTTTTAACATATTAAAAATCGATAATAATTTGAAAATAATTAATTATAAAAATTATATAATATGCACCCAGAGAAAAACCTCGATCTATATAATAAATTCATTGTTCAATTTGATAAATATATCATTACTATTGAATCAATGATATATTTATCAATATGATATTTTTTTTTCTTGTCTTGAACAATAATTATTTATAAGAATAGTTATTTTGTTCGTATTAATAAAACATTATCATAAACCCTTGATAAAATTTCTCTATCAAAATTGATTGAGGTTTTTCCTTGGGTGTATAATTAAAAGAATTACTAATCTGGATATAATTAAGGAAATAGGAGTTGATGTTGTGTTGGGTTGGTTACATTTTTAACTTTATAATGCTATAACTCATTGAAAAGTGTATGAATCAACACAATTTTTTTATGAGAAATAATATTTTTTAATAATCCCTTTTTCATTCGACATACTTTATCTTAATCAGGGTATTAATAAGAAACTAGCAGATAATGTAGCTTTTGTAATTATCCACCAATTTCTTAGAATTAAACACTATCTACTGATTTGCATCGAAGCGTTTCTTATGATAGTGATTTTAATCACTGTCAGATTAAATCTATACTGGACCCAACTATGCAACATCCCCACTATGCCGCGACCCCACTGTGCTGGNAAACTATGCAACGTCCCCACTATGCTGGGTTTTTTTTTTACAATAATCGTAATTTTTTATTAACTTTGATGTCAACTTTCACCACGAAGACAAGTCCAGAGGTCAAATTTTTTTTTTTCCAATTAAAGTATATTACATAAGCTTCAATTTAAGATAAATATAAAAGTGTCAGACCTTCCGGAACATTTTCAAAAGTTAAGTTGAAAAAGTTGTCATTTTAAATCCCCCCTTGTGGGCAGGTTAAGGGTTAAATTTATGAAAAAAATATACCAAATGAAAGG